TCATTTATTTGGAGTTGCTTTGGGATTTATATATTTGAAGTTGTGGCTAGATTTAAGAAGTAAGAAGTAGTGAGTTAATAGTGGTTGCATTTCAGTTGTATCATTCAACTAGAGCCAGCCGTAGCAATCACTGGAATCGCCTCACTGGAATGTCGTAATTTGCTGGCGTTGGGCTGTGAGTATGGCTTCGTGTTGTGCGATCTGAAAACGCATTCAGCGTTGTTGACGAATTGTCTGATCAATGCAGAACGTTCGTTGTTTTTTGATTGATCTTATTATTATCGGTTTAGAGCGAAACTTTGAACTGAACGGTCGCTACGATCTCGGCGGTAGCTCAAACGTAGAGCTAATTACTAATTACTAAACGAATGGTAATTGGTATGTGGTGGGTGGTTGGATTCCCGTTGGCGGATGGGAAGGAAAGTTGTGATCGAAAGCGAGTGCTGTGTGTGTGTAGCAATAAGATAAATATTATTGTAATTGTTGGGGTTATAGTGGTAAATTTTTTTTTAGAATGGTAACAGGCTTGGTTAGGTATTATGATTAGAGTTATTATTTGATATTGTTGTGAAGTAATTAATGATGGATGGTAATGGTTTAGAACTGGCTGAAGCAACTGCGTTGAATGGGGCGTTGTCGCGTTTCAAGAGTATGAAGAAGTCAATTCGGCAGTCGTTCCGACGGAAGAAGAAACCAGCACAGGTAGATTATTGTTATTAATTGTAATAATGATTTGTTGGGATTGATTTGATAAAGGTAAAATTAAAGACGAATGAATTGAATGCTACTGCTGCCTCAAATCAGACGGATGAAGATGAAGCGGGTTGTTCGTATGACGAGGTGAAACCAGTGGAAAGGGCGATCGTATCGCGTTCTGAGACGCTACCGCTGAATGGTTGGTGCGTTATTGTTTTGGTTATCGGTATTGTTATTGGATAGTGGTGCTTTTAGCCGGTGACCCGCTGCAGTCGTGTGTTCGTGTGTTGAAGTTCTATCATGCGAACATTATTTCATCAACATCGGGAACGGATAGTCTATGGGTGGGAACGAATTCAGGTGATTATTCATTTGTTATTGTTATGAGAATATTAATAATAATAATAATAATGTGAGTTTATTGAAGGCATTATATTGGTGTATGCAATAGCAGATGACGCGATAAAGCCCGAGGATGTTTGTGTGTTAATTAAAGAGATACGATTACAGCATAGAGCACCGATAATTGATTTGAATTGTGTCAACTCAGATGGTTCATCGCTTGTTAAGGTAAGCTTAAGCTTGAGGTTATTATAAGTTGAGTTTTATAAGGTTGAGGTTTTGCAAGATGCAAAATTTTAAGGGTTCATCAGCAGGTGCGCAACGCTTGCTGGTATGTAGCGAAGAGCAACTGAAGACGTTCTCATTACCGTTAATGAAAGCGCAACGATTCAAATATAAGCTGACGGCGACCGAGGGATCGAGGATTCGTAAAGTGGAGCTGTTAACGTTGAGGAGCTTGATTGGTTAGTGCTATGTTTTGGGGCGATAATGTAATAATCTTATAGTAGTTTATGGTTAGTTGTGTTCGTCTGTAGGAGTATTGCTTGGAAATTGATTTCTAGATCGGAAGGTGTATGAAAAGTTCGTGGCAGTTATCACGAATCAAGGCGAGTTGCTGTTGTTTGCGGCAGCATCATTGAAGCGACTTGCAAAAGCCAACTTTACAAAGGTGGTGCTTTTGCGTGATCTTATTTGGTCTCGTTTCGTTTCATTCGGGTTTGGATATTTAATTTTAGAAACGTTTAGGAGAGAGTTTTTATTATACACTGAATAGGGGGAGGTTGTGGCGAAGCGACCGGGGTGCATCATGTTATATGGGGTGGGCATTTCGCCACATATCATTTATGTGGTGCACTAGTTGGTATTGTTAGAGGTGTGGTGTAATTTGAAAAAAGTAGACGGTTATTGAAATCCAGGTAATTCAGGTAATTGAATTTGAGGTGAATGATGTGGTGGGTATATCGTCGACAGTGGTATCGCAGCAAGGAGAGCTGTTTTTTTTGCGGGCGGGTGGAAGCGAATTCGAGAGAGCCTCGCTGAGCGCATACCAGCAATCTCATTTCCTGCAGCAACATAACTTTTGATTTCTTTTTGGTTTATACTATAAATTGTTGTTGTTATGTAAATTGTAACTTTACTTTACTGTACTGTACTCGTCTGTCAGTCTCTTTTTCCAGTTGATATCATTAAGACCATTTATATATTTCACTTACAATAAGCAGTCACATCTCTTTGGATTGGTTTATTATTGTGAGCTCTGTTTTGTTAGATTGATTTGCGATTGTCTGCAGCTTGTTCAGTTTTATTTTCATTCACTTATGATAACGACTATAGCCACTATTATTATTATTATAATTATTATTATTATTATAATTATTATTATTACTATGATTAATATTGTTATTGTCATTAATATTAAGTATAATATGAGATATATTAATAATATTTTCATATAGAGGTCAGTGAAGCAGCAGCAGCAGCAGCATTTTATAAGATTGAACTGATATTATATAATAATTAAGTACGCAAACTGCCTAAAGCCTGAAGTGATCACAATATTTATAAAAGCATTATATAAATTGCTATGGTTTGAGTGTGTTTTGGTTTCCTCTCTTTCAGATCATTTCATAACAGTATTGCTTTGTGCGGTGATATTTTTTTGGTTGGTTGGTTGGTTGTATTTTCATTGTGTTTTGTTTTGTTATATGTATTGCACTCGTAATCGTTATTTGAGTTGTTATTGTTATTATTATTATTTGTATTATTATTATTATTAGTTTTACTATAATGATTACATAGCATATTATGTTGATAATTGAATCAGGATAATTTTATAGAATGCAACAGAATAGTGAGATGGAAGGGATAGGATTAAAATGGCGTTGTTGTATGACTGAACGGAAACTTATAATCAGTGAAACAGTAGATGAGAGCTGGTAATTGATAGCTGGAAGCGGCAGCAGGAGCAGCAAGCAGGATTGTATACCGACGGCTTATTTTATGGTATGGTGTTGAACACCTGTTTAGGTAATGAGTTAGTTTTAATTACAGTATAGTGTTGTTGTTGTTGTTGTTGCATTTCGGTTATCTGTTTCAGTTATTCAGTATTCATTAGTGAAGTGGTAGT